GCTTTTCAAATATACCATCATCAAAAAAAAAGGGTGATTCTACCCAAAATTGAAATGTACCATCTACTAAGATTGTTTGGGGTCCTGCCAACATCAAGTAAAATTGAAATAGTTGAGTTAGACATTTTAAGATGACAATTTATTAATAATATTATTTAAAAGAATTTTTTTTAAAAAATATAATTTTATGGAAGCTTTTTGAAGTAAACCAAATATTTTATCTATTTATATAAAAATCCAAAGTTCAAAACTTGCATCATAGTTAAAACTTGTGTCAAAATTAAATTTGCATCAAGGTTAAACCTGTGTCAAAATTCAAAACTTGCATAAATTAAAAATTTGTATAAAAATTCAAGACTTATAACAAAGTTAAAATTGTTTCAAAGTTCAAAACATGTATAGAGATTTAAAACTTGCGTCAAAATTCAAAGTTTAAATATTTGAAACTTGCAACAGTTTTTCTTATTCTAAAAATTTTGGTGTAACGAACACCTGTAGATTTTTTTTTTTTCAAAATTTCCCTAATAATAAATTGATCGACAATTCTCTCATTTATTCGCGGATCGTCTGAAAACTTCTAATTTTGACTTGAAAAATATTTTTAAGATATATATATTACTATTAACTATGCGCCGTATTATCTGTAGTAATGTGCTGTAATTTTGGAAATGATCATCACACCAATAAAAATAGAATGCCACATGCTTCATGTCACGTTTCATCAACGCGTCTCTTTTTTCTTGATTTTTAGCAAACCATAAATATGTATACAATAACTACACCGATTTCTACTTCAGCCAAGACAATAGAAGGGAAAGATGCAAGCATCTTGGAAGATCTGAGTTGAAAATATAGCACAGAACAGCTTATTGAATATTTGAAGAGACAAAAAAAAGTCTATGAAACCAATCATGATATAATTGTTGAACAGAAATTACCTATGGCGAGAAACTTAGAACTTTCTAATTGTATGTGTAGGGTCTAATTTATGTGCCTGTTTTGTAGTATAATTTATTGAAGTTTTTCTTTATAATAGCAATTGAAGAAATTAGAAAATGGAAAGTCCCTCATGCTCAATACTTCGAGATCTTTCACCCAAAGGATTGGTCATTTAATCATTACATTGCTTGGGTGCATAATAATATGAACAAGGCAATGGCCAATCGTACATTTTACAAAGCTTTAGAAACCATGAACAATGATAAAAACATTTCACAGGAATTTCATAATGTTATTCAAGAACTCTTGAAAAGAAAAAAGGTAAGTTTTGAGGTATACTTCAGATAATTTTTTTTTTGAAGTGTATTTGGGATGGTGACTCTTTGTCAGACTTCTCATGCCCTTGATGGCCACGTCCCGGAAAGGGATAAACATGAGTAGTTGAATTGGATGCGCATCTTGCTGACTACGCCTTAGCATGTGCAATAGGGGTGTGGTCCTCTGCATCTGGCCATCCTGGGTTTCTTTGAGAGGTCTACTAACTTGGAGAAGAGTTGGTTATGTACCTTCCTCTGCAACAACAAAGAAACTTCGGAACTTACTAGTTGGAATTGTTTGTGTGTATTTTTTCACACAATTATTCCGATCTAACACAATTTTTTGTTTCTATAAAGTCTAGTAAAGTGAGTGATATAGGGGACAAATCTATGGATGCAGATAAATCGGCAGGAGGAAAACGAAAAAATACAGATTCCACAGATACCAGAGCCACAAAGAAAGAGAAAAAAGCATCTGTCTCAACCAAAAAATCAGATACTACTCTTAAGGAACTTGAAGAAATGCTTATATCATTTTTTAAATCAAGATCAAGTCTCTCATTATCATCTGCATCTGAGGCAGTGTTGCAAGCTGTCGCTGAACTATTGTTGCGAAATGATCAAATTCCAGAATTGTGTCTAATAATTGACAGCACTAAACCAAAGGGAGATGGCAGATTTGGATTCATGGATCTTATTTTCGGAGATTTAAATTATTCAGTAATAGAATTAAAGTACATTAATCTCTCAGGTCTAATAAAAGCAGCAAATAATAATTGGAATACATATCCAAGCACAAGTGATTTAGCAACTCTTGACAAGTATATTGAGAGTGAAGATGAAAAAACACTTTTGGAAAGAAAATTTATGTTTTGGTCGAAAAAAGATAATGAGCCAAATCTTACAACATTAAATAAGACTTTATTATCTGCAGATGAACAAGTTAAAAAGTATATGAATGTAATTGCATATGGGCAAGCACAAGATGGTAAACCAGGTATTATAGATTCCTGAATTCTTATAAAACAACCACCTAACTATTGTGGCATTTTAAATGGTCATGTTGTTATGATGATTGGTTTTCGACGTCTTATATCCAGATTTGTTGGATCTCAAAATATTCATTTTAGTTTTACTAAAAAAAAGTAATTCTTGTTAGCTTTAGTTCTATTATAATCATCCATTCTTATTAAATTTCAAAGTGAGGGTTTATCAAGCAGAATTTTGCTCTTGAAAATTCTCAATATAGAAGATTCTTTTTTTGACATTTCATCTATAGATGTTCGTCATAATTATTTTTCGATTTCCGTAATATTATGGATTTTGACTCATATTAATATACATGATCTGTAATGTTTCCATAATGCTGTTATTATTATTATTATTGTGGATGGGTGAATCTGAACCACTTCTCTTCCGCAGTCTCCGATCTTTACGAACATTTTAATATTAGTATTACATATTGGTATTGCCATCTGTCCCATGTATAGTAAATTAGCTTCATATTAACTATTTTTATATAGAGGTAATTCTATATATCACTTAATATTAAGAGGATAACAAATGAGACTGAAATCATTGGTAATACCAATGTTCACTTTGTCTGGTTTTGTTGCAGTATGCCCCATATGTAATTACACTTCCTGTGACATATCATTTGACTGGTAAAAAGAGACAATCGACAAAAACCTGTACGAAAGTCGCACGACTTACGGGTTTTGGAAGGAGATCGTGACACGACAAATGTTTCTTTTCTTTTGATTTTTGATGCAAGATATTGGGGTATATTATATAGAAAATGATCCCCAAATTGTTAAATAATAAAAAAAAGTTTTACAAAACATTTCTTATAATTTGATTAGAATGTCTGCATCAATTCAGATTCCAAAAGGTATTTTGACTTAAAAATTTTAAATGACAAATCTACCTGTCACAGATTGTCACATTTTTTTCTTGCAAAAAAAATTCTCATTGTACCAATCGTAGAACGTTAATTACACAATCTTGTTAGATGTATTTGTCAGGCTTAGGCCAGCTTCTGAAGATGCTCCTCTTCAAGGTATTTTGTTTGGTCAACGTGAAGAATGTTTAGATCGTGGTTTGGTAATCCATGTAAAAGTAAGTAGTAATAAATTGATAACCTATTGTTCTAGTATAAAAAGAAGCGTTATTTAATCGATCTCTCTATTTATTAGGGTTTTTTTCTTTACGAATCCTGTTCACAAGATTTAATTAGCACAATTGCAAAATTAATGAATTGGAAAGGTCAAACAGTTTTAGGATGGTTTGCTGTAAGTATTTATTTTCACAAAAATACTTTTATTGTTCATTTCAATACACGTGCTATAAATAATTTTTTTTTTAATTAATATATTGAAAGGCACCAGAAAACGATATAATTAATCAATGTGAACCAACACAAATTGCATCTGCTTATTTTCGTACTTTTCAATCTGCCATGTTAAAAGTAATAGTGGCAAATTACCTTAAACAACATTCAGGTATTTACCATAAGGATGATTATTCAAAGCAATAAAAAATTTTATTTTTATAAAAATAGCAATAATTTACATTCATTGTTTAGAATACGACGTAAGAGAGATCACACCGTTAATTGCACGAGAATCATGTGCATTATTTCAAGATCTTATAGGATTATTAATAAGAAAAATTGATAAACCGATTAATCCAATTTTGTCACCATTAGCAGACATTGATACAACAACAGCACAAGCATTTTTTTCTGCTCCAAGTTTGAACGAAGTGCTGAACCTGCTTTGTGATGTTAAAGGCGATGTCGTAGAAACACATATATTACAAGAATTAGCAGATGTCCTTCCTAGAATTAATGGTTTAGGTTCTAATTTTACACATAACAACTCTATAACGGATGATATGGATGATGAGTGTGATGATGTTAGAGAATTATTTTCAATTTGGGGTAATGGTTCGGGCACAGTCAATAAAAAGATAAGAACAAGGAGGGCAAGTACAACGGATATTGCTGAAGGTTTATCAAGAAGTGCTTCATTCGTTGCAGATGATCTTATGGACGATTCAAATAAGAAAAAAAAAGGTTTAGATAATGAAAATATCGTAGATAAAAATATAACAAAAAATGTAAAAATAAAATCATTCTATAAATAAATAACATGAATAAGTAATAAAATTAATAGTAATTATTAATTTCATTTATTTATTTCAATAAATTAGATAAATACAACAAATGACAACATAGCCACTAATATAATACCAGCACCATTTATAATTGTACCTGGACAAGCTTCGGAATATATGCATCAAGCACATAATGATGATAGGTATTACAAGACTTGTTTATATATTTAAACCATAGGCTATTGATTTTTCATTACTATATGTATTATCTAACTCGTTTATAAATAATGTATTTATAAACTTCATCAAGTATTCATCACTCAACAGAATATGATGAATCCATATTATCATCTTTGACAACTTCACATTTCTCTCCAACCAACAGCACTCAATCAAATTCATCACAGAATGAATATGTTATGACATATGCTCAACAACGTATTAATATAACATACAATGCAATTGCTCAGCATATTACATCACATACTCAAGAAAAAATAACTTTATACGAAAAATCTTGTAGAGAATATGAGATGTTGTTAGAAATACTTGAAACATTAAATAGTGTAGGGGATAAACATTCATTATCTAAAAAGTTAGAGAATTCGATTGAAGATATTGGTGATTGTGATAATGAAGAAAATGCTGAAGATGTAATCGGTGAAGGCGTAGAAGTTGATAAAAAAGAAGATAAAGTAATGGCCGTAGATAATAATAATCTAAATCCTTTCAAATCTAAAAAGTCTGAAGCTGAAAGTTCAGATAGTGAGCTTATAAAAAAAAAAGATGTTAAGAGGAAAAAGAAAAAAACCCCCGACAACAACAATTGTTCCGATAAAGAAATCATTAAAAAGTCTCCAAAGAAATGGCATAAAAAAGTAATTAAAACTAAAGATGTAGAAATTGAAGAAAATAGTAATGGCAATGGTAACTTGATTGGTGAGATAAGTTCTATTTCTTCTATGGAAGAAGGAGAAATCGAGGAAGATAATAATAATGATGATGACGATGATGATGATGACAATGTTGACAATGAAGAAGAAGAAGAAGACGTTGATGATGACGTTGATGACGACGATGATGATGATGATGACAATGATGATGATGATGATGATGATGATGATGATGATGATGATGATGGTGACGATGATGACGATGATGATGATGATAAAGACAATAATTATATTAGTAATGATAACAACAACAACAACAACAACAACAACAACAACAACAACAACAGTTTAATACCAAAGTACCATCATCATGAATTAGACAAAGATAAAAAAAGAAAATATGATGAAATGATATTTAAAGAGCCAAATTGTAATAATAAAGGGAGGAGTAGTAGTCCTGGATGGGCATGGGACGAAGAAGATTTTGCAAATTAAAAAATTTCGATTTTTTATATTTCTGTTTTTATTTATTAAAATATATATCGTGCGTGTTATTAAAATTAATGTAATAGAAGATCACATCCTTTTTTAAATATGATTTGAACATAAAATAACAATTAGTAAAACACTAATTTAAAAATCAAAATATTAAAATAATGTCAATAATATCTATTTTATGTTTTAAAGCATCGTATAAATTATTTCGATGGTTATTTATACTTTCTACAATTTTGAGTTCTTTAAATGGAGTTTCAACTCTTAACTTACCGCAATTTACAATAAAGAGTAAAGTTATTGAGTTACTTGACGAGGAGGGTGGAACCTCAGATTTCACAATGAAATTGTTTACCATCTCAGCATTAGTAATACTCGGAGGCGTGTTTGCTGGTAATTCGTGATGTTTTATCTATTTCATTAATATATTCTCCTTGGCTGTATTTTTCTTAACCATACTTTCCTTAACCTTTAAAATAAAATATTCTTTTACTAATATTTAAATAATAGGGCTTACAATAGGCTTGATGGGCTTAGATGAGACTAATTTACAAGTTTTAATGGTAGCAGGAGATTCGAAGGAACGTATTTATGCAAGAAAAGTATTTGAACTTTTAAAACGTGGAAAACACTGGGTATTAGTAACTTTATTACTCTCCAATGTGATTGTCAATGAAACTTTACCAATCATTATGGACTCGCTTTTTGGAGGAGGTTGGCCGGCAGTGTTAATATCAACTGCATTAATCGTTCTATTTGGGGAGTATGTGTATTATTTTAATAATGGAACTTTTTCAATAGTATATAAATATTTTATCGTGTGTTATTTACTTTAAAATTTTATAAACTGAATATTTCAGAATAATTCCTCAAGGTTAGTATTTTATAATAAATCTTGAATATATATATGTATATATGTGTGTGTATATATATAAATATTCATTAATTTTATCCTTAAAAGCCATATGTGTTCGTTATGGCTTGGCTATAGGTGCTGGATTTTCATGGTATAAAAAAAAAGTTGCTGCAAATTAGAAAATTACGATTTTTTATTTATTTTTTACATCATTTATATTGGAATAGGTTTGTGTTGTTCTTAATGTATATAATGTTTCCTATAGCGTACCCGATAGCTCTACTATTGGATTATTTTCTTGGCGAACATCACGGTATAATGTATCGCAAATCTGGTATGTATTATAAGTTTTGAACTTATTTATATGTATGTATATAAAGAATATTATTAATATATACGTAACAAAATTTATTTACAAAAAACCAAAAACAAGAGTTAAAAACTTTTGTTTCTTTGCATAAAAATGGCGGAATGGAAAGTTTAAATGAAGATGAAGTTCAAATTATTGGTTCTGTGTTAGATCTTCGTGAAAAATCCGTTTCAGCCATCATGACACCTTTGGAAAATTCTTACACATTAAGTGCTGATTGTTTATTAGATGAAAAAACGGTTGATGAGGTGAATAAATGGAAAAATATGTTATGTAGATAGTCACAATAAAATACTTAAAAAAAAACTTTTTTTGGGATATTTTAGATTCTTTCAGCAGGTTATTCTCGTATTCCAGTTTATGAGCCACCAAATCCAACGCACTTTATAGGTATGCTTTTAGTTAAAAAACTAATTACATATGATCCAGAAGATGCATGGTCTGTCAGGGATTTTCCATTAAGTTCACTACCAGAAACTTCGCCAGACACAAGTTGTTTAGACATTTTAAACTATTTTCAAGAAGGCAGAAGTAAACTATTATTTATTCAATTTATTTGTTAATCGACAATAAAGAAACGTAAATAGATAAATGTTATTAATAAATATTATTAGGCCACATGGTACTTGTCTCAGAAGATCCTGGGGGAGATAAAGGAGCTCTTGGCGTAATCACTCTCGAAGATGTTATTGAAGAGTTGATTGGAGAGGTGTGTAAAATCAGAAAAAAATTTTTAAATTAATTTTTCTTGTTGGATTTTTTTTAACATGAAAAAAAAAAATTTTTTTTTTGAAAAAAAAGGAAATTATTGACGAGACAGATGTTTATGTTGACGGTATAGATACTTTTATTGTTAAAATTAAATACATACGACGGACGTTAACATATCATAAAATTTTTTATTATATTCAGTACAAAATAAAATCAAAGTTGTGCGTCATCCACCACGTCAATCAAGACAACGTTCATATCCATATTATAAATCTAATTTATTAAAAAGCTCAGCAATTCTACATAGTTCATCGAAAGCAATTACCAAAAAGAAAAAAGAAAGCAATGATATAGTTGATGGAAACATGAAGAATAAAATAAAATTAAAGACAACTAATGTTGAGAACAGTAACAACAACAACAACAACAACAATAATAGTAACGACAATAATAGTAATAATAGTGGAAAAAGTAGCACAATCAGGAAAAATTCTACTACTAAATATGGTTCTATTGATAAATAAAAAATCGATTTTTATAATTTAATACAAAATTATCGCTAAAAAGTTGAATTAATTTAAACTTGTTGTTTTTTTTTTTGTTTAAAAAGGCAACTTTCGAAACTTTAATGTTAATAGGTTTTTATTTATTAGAAAAGATATGCATTTATCATAAAATCTCGTGCAAAAATACTCATGGTTCAAATGGGGTTATATAATTTTGATCTGCATATTTAACCACCCTAGTGTTACTTTAAAAAAAAACCTCAGCCAAAGTCTTCTCACTTTATAAGTTCAAATATTAGAAGAAATACAAAAAATTTTAATATCCCGTTCCCAAACACGAGTCATGTCTACAGTATTGTCAGATCGCCAAAGAGATGAGCTGTAAGTATGCTAATTGTGAAATTTTACCTAAATACCGGATTTACCAAACTATTTGATTAAAAATAATTTTTAATTTTAATAATAAAACAATTCAATTGTGTCAATTCTTTTTGATTAAGATTATACTTATACATCATTGGTTTCTAATGTTTATAAACATTTTTATTTAATAGTTGTGATTTTTTTTAAAAAGCTTATTAATATATATCTACATACATACATATATATATATATATATATATATATTTTTTTTTTTTTTATAAAAAAATTTTTTTTTAAAGACATAAAGCTGTTCTTGATTATCTTTATGCAAATGGATTTACAGAATCATTTAATTCGTTAAAAACTGATGCGCACCAAAATGATTTCAATCCAGATCCCAAACAAAAATACGCAGGGTTATTGGAAAAAAAATGGACTTCGGTGATTCGGTTACAAAAAAAGGTATTAAAAAAGATATATATAGAGAAAGAAAGAAATTGAAAAGTTCTTTAGATGTTAATGATCTTTTTTTATAATTATATACCTTAAGATTAAAGTCAAGTGCTGCTTTTCTTGATATTTATCTATATCTATTTATACATATATATATATTTATTTATTTAAATGAATTATTTGTTATTAGATTATGGATTTAGAAAATAAGATTACACAGATGTCTGAAGAACTTAATAATGCACCTTTAAGAAAAATTAATAGTGCAGTTGATTGGGTACCACGAGCACCAGAAAAATATTCACTAACAGGACATAGGAATCCAATTACACGCGTTACGTTTCATCCTGTTTTTTCTGTATTGGCATCTGCTTCTGAAGATACTACAATAAAGATTTGGGATTATGAAACTGGTGAATTTGAAAGAACACTTAAAAGTCATACTAAAGCAGTTCAAGATATAACATTTGATCCTAAAGGCAACTATTTGGGTAAAATATTTTTTTCTTTCAATTATATTTTTATGACTATTATATATTTATATTAAATATTCTAATGCTGCTGCACATGCACATATATGTATCTTTAGTGACTTGTTCTGCAGATTTGACAATAAAAGTATGGGATTTACAAAATGATTATAAATGCATTAAAACTTTGTATGGACATGATCATAGTGTTTCATCAGTTGCATTTTTACCATCTGGTGATATTATTGTATCAGCTTCACGAGATAAGACAATCAAATTATGGGAATTATCATCAGGGTTGGTATACATAAAAATTTTTTCTTAAAAAAAATATTTTTTTTGTTTAAGATTCTTTTACAAAATATACATACATAAATATATTTACATAGGTATTGTATAAAAACATATACTGGTCATTTGGAATGGGTGAGAATGGTATCACCAAGCGAAGATGGAAAATGGATTGTAACTAGTTCAAACGATCAGGTATCATATTTATATTTACAACTTTTTATTTTTTTTTTTGGAAATATATATATATATATATATATATCATATAATATGAATAATAATTATATGCATATAATTGATTTTTTAAAAAAAAAAAAGACTGCACGTTTATGGGAAGTACAAAGTGGTGATTGTAAAATGGATTTTAGGGATCATGATCATGTAGTAGAATGTGCAATATTTGCACCTCTTGTTGCATATCCTTTAATAAGAGAATTGATAGGTGTAGATAAAGATGTAAGTTTATTTTTTTTAAAATAATAAGTCAATGATATATTTTAAATTTGCATATATGTATGCGCACATATTTTAATAAAACTTTCCATTTATTAATATATAGCCCAAAGGAAACAAAGATCAACCAATTTCTGGTCAATATATTGTAACTGGTTCAAGGGACAAAACAATTAAACTATGGGATTCGACAGGTCAATGCTTGAGAACTTTTGTATGTAATATATATTTTACACATAATAAATTATAAAATTATAAATTTTTTTTCAAAATGAATTTAATTAATTAATTTTATTACAAAATACTATATTTGTATAGGTGGGACATGATAATTGGGTTCGTGGACTTGTATTCCATCCTAGTGGAAAATTTCTTCTCAGTGCATCAGATGACAAGACTCTAAAGATATGGGATGTTAAAACTGGTCGATGTACCAAGACTTTAGAAGCCCATGCACATTTTGTTACATGTATCGCATTTAATAGTGGTACTCCTGTTGTTGCTACAGGGTCTGTGGATCAGACTGTGAAGATTTGGGCACCGTATAGGTGAAAATATAGATCGTGTGTTTGGGATGGTTAATTAACAAATTTTTTGTTTTATCAATTAATTAAAAAAAAATTTTTCTATTTCTTTATTTTCGGAGTAAATTAATCATGATTAATCATTAATAATTTGTTTAGATATAACAACTGATTGAATAATTACGATTCTTTCTTGATTAATTTATGATTAATAGATTAAATTATTATTATAGAATTTTTTATTATCATTTGTTTTTATTATTTATTATTATATATGTGTAAACTTAGCTCGTTTTTTATGGGAAACATTATATATAATATATATATGAAAAAATTGCAACAATCAATATAATATTTATATTTATTTGAATTCAATTATAAATAAAAATATTTAAATTATTTTTTTTTATATATAGTATATATAAATCCATTCAATATTCATTTATATATATACACATGATGGATATTGATTCCCCCAAAAAAAGAAATTAAAAATAAATTTGCTTTCTTTTTATTTGTTTGATTCTTTTTTAAAAAAAATCGTTCATTATTAATAAGGTATGTGAACGTGTACGTGTACGTGTATTAAAAAAATTTTTTTAAAAATAAATACGAATTATATATATTTATATGTCAAATTAATAATATTCTCTTTGATTCCAATTCCTTCCGCCATCATAAGATGATGATGTTGTTGTTGTAGAGGACAATAAATTATTAAAACTATTTAATGGTTGCTCGCTATTTGAAATCATCATCTTGTTACCGACACTGTTATTATAAAAATAATTATAATTATAATTGTTATAATTATTATTATTATTATTATTATTATTATTATAATTATTATTATTATTATTATTATTATTATTATTATTATTATTATTATTATTATTATTATTATTATTATTATAGTTATTTTTGTTGTTATTATTATTATTATTATTATTTACATAATGATATTGTTGATAATTATTATTACTATTATCACTATTATCGTTGTTGTTGTTATTACTGTTGTTATTATTATGTGTTAAACCAATTAATGAAAAGGAATCTTTTTTCTCGATAAAATTATCATTTAATATGTTATTATCATTCATTAAAGATGATATAGGAGGTAATCTGGTGATTGGCGGCGAAATAATAACAGATTTTAATGAAGTGGATAGTAATAAATTTGATGACGAGGATGATGACGAGGAAGATGACAATGATTTAGGAGAAGTTGAAAGCGTATAGTGAGTAGGCCTAGGACTTAAAGTGAAACTATTAGTGAATCTCGGCGTTAAATTATCATCATCATTGTTATTGTCTTTGTTTTTGATATTATTTGTATTTGTACAACTACTTATGTTATCATCTCTATAACTATCGATGGAAGTAGCCATATTTGGCGAGTAAGGAGTTAATAGTAGTTGATTTGAGCGCGTACCATCAACATCAGTCGAAGTTTTTGGTGTGGGTAATTGACTAGCTATGGAAGAAAGTCTATTATTATTAACAGTGGCAGTAGTAGCGGTATTATTATCATTATCATTAATGTCAGTTTTGGTGATATTATAATCTAGTTTAGTGTGGTGTTGGTGTTGCGAACTGGATAGATATGGTGGTAAAGTAAAAGATCTAGTTGATGATTCAGGAGGAGGTGGTGGTGGAGGTGGTGGTGGTAAAGAAGGTCGGAAGTAATATGGATCTTTTATATGATGAGGGAATTTATTCGAAATATTATTTTTGTAGGAATTTCCAAGAACGACCAATGAATTGCCAGATGATTGATGTCTAGATGATGATGATATATCATTATTATTAAAAGAACTTGATGATGACAATGATGTATGTTCTAATAGAGGAGGCAAAGTAGTTTGACGTTGTGATGGTCTGCGATGATATGAAAAATTATTAATTTGATTATTATTATTGTAATGATTTTTCAACAATCTGTGATTGTTGTTGTCATGTGAATCAATAATCTCGGGATTTGATAATCTTGGACGTTTTAAACGATCATTCGAGAAAAATGATTCATTATGTGAAGAAGTTGCAGAAGAAGTAAATTCAAAAGTGGAAGAAGAAAGAACTGACATTTGATCGTCAAATCCAGAATCATCGTGATTATTTGAAACGAAAACACGTGATTTCTGCCATGAATTGGGAGAGGTGTAACCAGTATTTTGCAAATAATTTGGGGAATTGTTATTATTGATTAAATAATCAGATGTGGTATAGTGGGAAGATGATGACGATGAAGAGTAGTAAGGTTCTAATGATAACTTTTCAGTAGGCTGTATAATCTCAGGTTTGCTTCTTTTTCTTTTTAAGATGTAAAGATTATTTGGATTATTATTATTACCATCATCATCAACATCAACGTCAACATCATTATTTTTGTTTTTGTTGTTGCTATTATCATTGTCGTTATTGTTATTATCATTACCAGTGGGCCTTAAAGAATGCTGACGTTTTCTAATCAAATGTACACATTTATATTTATTAATAAATCATTGTATTTACAATTATAATTATTTGTTTAATAAATCAAATACATACGATAGACCTCTATGCTCTTTTCTTATTCTTATACGAACGCCTTGATCTGAAAAAGATCTCGATAGAAATGTCGATTCAGACGCACCAGGAAAAGCCTTCGCAGAATATATAGTAAAAATATCTGAAATTATTGATTGTAAATGAATAACTTCATTTCTATTAATAAGAAAAAAATAAATGATAAGAATGAATAAATAAATAAATGGTTGATGATGAATAATATAATAACAATATATATTACACTGACTTTATTACTTCGAATAAACTAAATCTTAAACGATAACGACCTTCAACACGAATAGAAATATCACCAAATACAAAGAAACCACCATCTATTTTAAAAATCATTTAGTATATAAAAGGTAAACATGAAGTTAATAACAATAACAGTAATTATTATTATTTACCAGTATTATTAATGTCTTTTAGCTTATGAAGAGATGAAACAACAGTGCCAGCTAAATATTTTGAAGATATAGAGAAATGTTCGCTATTATTTGTTGGATGAACCAAATCTGCACACATGAAAAAATATGGACTTTGAAGATAGTTACTAAAATTAAATTAAATAATTAATTGGTTAACATTTTTTTATACATTAATCAATTAAAATATACAATTAAATTTGATCAAAAAATAACCATGATTATAAGATTCTTACTGTGATTCATCATAACATTCATCTACTTTAAGTTGAATGATCGGAGGAGGATCGATTGGTCTTCGATCTAATAAAAAAATTTTATTACCGTTAAATCAAATGTAATTGTATATCCTCGATTAATGTATAATTATATTTTATTATTACTACCTCGTTCTTTTGAATTACATAAACGGGCTTGTTTCGGCTGTTGTCTGATAATTAAGCGAAAATGAGAACTAATAATAAATAATAATTGTTATTTTGATTGAATAAATTGATTTTCTTCATTTGATTTTGATATAAATATTTTACCTATCCAATGGCGTTTGTTTGTCAGAAGTACTTACAAAATTATAAGTATTCATTATAGGATGTTTTGGAGTCATTATTATTATATGTATTAATCAGTCAATAATATAAAAAGGGAAATGAAAAGAGATTGGGAATTTATATATTTTTTTGAAAATGAGAGTTAATGAATATCTTTTTAAATAAAATTAACGAAATAATGAAAAGTAATTCATTAAATGAAATGGAAAAAAAGATAAAAAAATTATTAAATGAAAGTTTTAATCAAATGAAATATTTTTATTTTTATTTTCGTTAAAAAAAGATTTTTTTTCTTTCCTCAAATTAAATTTTAAATATTGTTTGTTTTTTACATTTATTGAGAATAAAAAAAAAAGAATGAATGATTTGTGTTTAATTATTATTATAATAATATGTTATATATTATTGTGTTATTATTGTTTTATATATTTTAACATGTAATTGGTTGATTGTGTTCAGAACGTAATTTTTAATCCAGGCATGTGGGCGGAAATTGATCATTTTTGTGACATAAACTTGTGATATAATAGGGTGATCTGCAACATATATTAAAAATTCGAGTCACTTGATTATTAAAAATCCTTTTAATGAATTTGAAACAAGTGGACCACCAAATTTATTGAGTTTTAATGCCAATTTAAAAGTGTAAGTTATAAAATCCATGCAGTTTTTTTAAAATGTTAAATAAAATATTACTTCTAAATATCTAATTACATGCAGAATAATAATATAACAAATTTCAGCATTAAAACAAATTCTTAATTTACCTTTATAATCAACAAACTGATAATAAAAGACTCATCCAATTGTTAATAAGTTCATCCATAAAACTGTCACTTTATGACAAAGTTGTACAACGTTTTTCTACGACGGGATCAAGAACGACTGCATGATCACGTTAAATGAGATCCGTGTAGGCAAGGCCACGTGTGTATCGTTCCGCAGTTTTGACATTCACCCCGTTTGAAGAAATGCTCCAAATTTTTTTTTTATGAACTAAAATCTATTTAATATGCAAATATTAAAGTTATCTATAAAAATCCCAAATGGTCTAATTATTTGAAGAATAATATATCTACTCGTCCTGTTTTGTTTGTGTTTCTTATAATTAAATAGCTATATCATTGAATAATAGAGAAATACTCATTCCACATTAGAAAATATATATAATAAATAAATTTCAGCATTAAAATAAATTCTTAATTTACTTTTAAATTTAGTCTCCCGATTTATATGGTTAATATTAACAAACTATATAATAATTGTTAATGATTTCATTCATAAAATAGCAAATGGAAACAAATTTTTGGTTCGTAAAAAAAAACCCCTTTTAGAACTTTTTTTTATTCGTATTAGATCCTCCTCACAACTTACATAGGATTGGAAAACACCTATAACATAGGATATCACTTTTTATCACTTTTTTTAAACACTAATACAGATAAGGTTAAGCTTTTAGGATTTAGTGGTTATATCCGCCGAATGATATTCATCGATTATTCCCGATTAATCAGGTGTTGAATGATCAATTAACCAGGTGTTAGAAATTTCACCAGTACAGAATTAGAATATAAAAAAATATGTTGAGAAAATCTTTTTTTATTGCTAATTAATTGAATGTAATTTTTTTAATACATATACAGTTCACTCTCTCTATAACGGATCATTTGTCTGGGGAAAAAAGATCCGTTATAGAGAGAATCCGGTATAGA